TTCTTTATTTTTGACATTTCGGAAGAGTTCTTTTTCATATTTTTCTTTTAACGTGCTAACATCACTTTTGCAGTAGCTGAGTGACGCTAGAGTTTCTGATGTGGGTGATCCTTCTTTTGGGAATGTGAAACTTTTAGATGTTTGACATGCAGGGCTTTTCTCATCTGCAGTTTTATAACTCGGCAACATAGCCGAATGAGTGTTTGTGAGAAATTCGTAAATTGGTGAAGAGTTTAATGACTTTTTGCTTCTGTTGTTGTTGTTTACATCACCACCTTCGTTGTAGTAAGTGTTGTTAATCATACTTACTTTTAGATTGTTTGACGTTAAATTCTGAAGTAATCTCGGCGGTTTTGGGGGTAAGTGATCAGGAATGGAACCACTTCTTAAATACTTGGTATGTCTTAAATCGTCAGGGCTGGTGTTAATTGTTGGTGAAGTTTCCTTGCTGGTTTTTGATAGGTTAGTACTCTGTTGGCTAGGGCTCGATTGGTTGTTGCATGATTGGTTGGTACCTGATTGGCTAACTCTTGATTGGCTGGCTTTTAGAAATGGTTTAATGTTCGTCGATGCATCATCTGCAATGTTAGATCTTTGCTCGCAGTCATATATTTTAGAGATTGAATTAATTTTTGTTAAAAAACTTGTTGCCGTTTCATCGACTTTTTTCTGGTTGTCGTTAGAAGTAGACGATCTATTTTTATTCAACAAAGAGTAATGACTTTTTTCTGGAGAGTCTATTTCTGAATTGTCGGTGTTTGTGACATCTTTATTTAACTTTTTCAGCCTTTCGGCACTTTCTTTTTTATCAAGCCAACTTTTGTAGCTGAAAATTTCATCGGAAGAGTCATGATCAAAAAATAAAGCTTTTCGTGGAGCTGTTGTTGTTGTTGAAGATGTTGAGGTCTTAGTTTGTTTTCTGGTTAAATCATTATTTTCATTTATAAAAGTTGGATTTGTTGAAAAATTTGTGCAGTAATTGTATTTGTTTGACAATTCCTCTTCTTCCTTATTTTTCGAAAAATCCGAACGAGATTCCTGATACGTATTATCGACTGTATCGTCATCTAGATTTTCTTGAATATCAAAAAAATGTTTTCTATCGTTTGCCATTTTTTCTTTGATGAAAAATGGTATTCTTTCTTTGTTATCGTTGGCTCGATTAGCTGAAATGCTCTGTTTAATATCATCGACTTGACTTTGATTTGTGGAATAATTTTTTATGGTTGGTGAAAGAGCATTTTGACTCGCATCGGAACTATTATTCTCAAATATCTTTCTCCTTTCCTGGACGTTGTGCTTCTTTATATGCAGCAAGCTGGGATGGCGAGGATGTTTGGCCATGACATCACACAACGATAACGCAGAATGGACATTGCTCTTTCTGTTTGTCAGCATTGCCATTGTTCGTTTAATACTTACCAGGCAGTATCCTACTATTGGTTCTCGGTTTTAATTTGTGTATAAATATATCAATTAAGTAGCAAACTAATACAAATTATGTATTTAACTAAACTTATCCAAAAATTAACAGGAGAAGAACACAACGGCACATAATAAAATTATTTAATCAAACGACATTTTATAAATATTTAAACAGTATGCGTGTATGAGCATATGTATACACCGTAATTGAAACGATTTAAACCAATTTAATAAATGTAAATTTTACGTTTTATTTTCAATATTCAATGGTGTTCCGTTGAAAACAGTTGCCCCTATATTGCTTTTTAATATATTATTTATATTACAACAGTTATACTTATAGTTGTCCCAATCAATTAGCTACAAATAATATTCAATATTATTTAATATATTTAGTATTAATAAATATGGTTATAAACTTTTATTTATAATAAATATAATATAATAACTTATCATTATAATTATATACATTTCATCAAAACAAAAATTATATAACATTATATTTCATTTAGATTTAGAAAGACATAAACTTAGAATAACGTTTAACTATAAATTTTTACTAGCAAATGGTCAAGATGTTAATTAGTATAATTATGTCAATTATAATGATATATTATAAAAATATAAGTCAGTCCTACAATGCAAGAACTATAAATCAATTTACTGAACCACTTTCAACTTGTTCATTAATAATAAAGTTAATCAAGATAATAAAATACGACATAATATGTAACGCAATATACTATGCAACTAACTATAACACTGAACACTAACAGAAACAAAGGTAAAAAAAGTACTTTCACACAAGCACACTCCACACATTGACTGGGAAAACCGATACTGATCGACTAACACATGCATACCTTTACAAGTATGTTAATGAAGTACCTCATTTAACCAGATGCACCTCATACACATGTTTATATCAAATATATATATATATATATATATTATATATACATCGTATATTTATATCATATATATATATATATATATATATATAAATATTTATATATATATATCATATATATATATATACATCATATATATATCATATATATATCATATATATAATAAATATCACATTGTATATATACATTATATACATATATATATATATCATATATATATATATAAATATCACATTATAATATATATATAATCACATTATATATCACATTATAATATATATAATATAATAAATATCACATTGTATATATATATATATATATATATATATATATATATATATACACACACACAATATAATCAAGCATCTCAAATATGCCACCTAATGCATTACCATAATTACATGATTATATATTTATGTATACGTAAGCTCATTTGAAGTGAATATATATATACGGAACCTTTATTTATATGTATGTATACATATATATATATATATATATAACTATATATATACATTTCCAAATTTGCTAAGGTTTCCTACACTTTTCCATCTTATCATATGTCCTGCTCACTTAATCCCCTATTCACCAATCTTCATTTGTCCTGTTTTCCAAATACCTTATCAACTTCCAATGTTCGTAATTCAAATTGTGAATCAAATTTCCAAGAGACAAATAAAATAAACGTCAAAATTTGATAACTTTGGACAAATCTAAAACAAATTTATAAAAAAATCTTACTATAGTTTAGTATGATTAAACTAGATGATCGATAACTCGTAATAACAAAAAACTACAGTAGATTTTAGAAGAAATTTTCTGCATCAAGAAATCCAACTTAAAGAATTGTTAAACCTTCTTTCTCATCATGTAGCTACGGTGGAATAATTTTTATACCTGTCGAATGGAATTATAAAATGTTTCAGTTACTGGTTGCATTGTTCAAAAACGTAAATTATTCAAATTAGTGATGAAAGGTGACAATGAAAAGAGGGATCTGTTAATGTGATATAATCAATATTAGAATGATAAAAAAAATTTGGAAACCTGAAAACAAGTGTATGAAAATGATCGAATGATTTGAAATGAATTACGAACATTTCTCGCTTTTACCTTGCATTTTTCTCTACCAATTTTCAAGCAGATTTTTAAAATTTAAATAATGTTATTGCTATATGTGTGTGTGTGTGTTGTGTGTGAGTGTGTGTGTGTTTGTGTGTGTGTGTGTGTGCGTGTGGTGTGAGTAAAAGGGCCTACTGTCTAATCTTGTTCAAATCAGAATTTATAATAGAATAACAAAGTTATCCATCTTTTTATCTTGAGGGTACTTTACACCCTTAGTTCGGCTTCCGAAATCTGTCCCTGGTCTGGTTTAAAAAAAAATTCTATCACCCAGTACCACAAACATTAGAAGCACTCTCACTAAATAAAAATATTTTGTGTACATTATTAGTTGAGATATAAAAATGATTGATAAAGAAAGGTTAAATTTTGGTTGTCTAAAAATAAATTAAGTAAATAAATAGTGAAACAATCTTGTTTTCAAGCACAACAAGTTTAATCTCACTGTTTTTAACGTTACAAGAAAGCTAAAAAGTTGAAATCTTCAAGAGAGCTGCATGTTGTTGATGTTAGCAAATTATACGTATTTCATGAAAACACTTGAATATTATCTATGTTAAATATAACTTCAATGAACTTCTGTCTGAGTGACTGAATATTTTGAAATAAAGTGTTATAAACTTTGACTTACTGTATCTCTAGTGTTGAAAGAATAAAAATGAAAGCATTTGTTTTCATTTTTTGCGTAAAATGTAAGAACAATTTATTATATTAATTGATAATTACAAATGGGAATAAATAACTTTATAATATATACTCAGGCATTCTCGTCAGCTCTGGGAATGTGAGGAATATTTATTTAGAGCTGGCTCAACCCCTGATATTGTTCGACAATTTCGAAGGTTCAGTCAGGTTTGAATCATCTCCCTCCAACTTATTCAAAGGAGATTTGGTGGAAAATGGTACATTGAATAGGATGATGCAGTCCTGGTTAGGTTTTAAATTATGCATAAATTAAAATCAACAATTTGTATATAGTAGTTTTACTACTCTTGATAAAAGTTTATCACATGGTGAATTAACAGAGAACCAGGTGAGCACGCGGTAGCAACCAGATGCAGAACTGCCTGAGCTACTTTGCCATAAATTTTTCATAAAACAACATGCATGTCTTCTGTCATGAAACAACATACATAATCTTAACGAAATGAGATATTAAAAATTACAAACCAGTGGTTGTCAATCCAAGTTCCTACAAATATATAAAAAAATCATGTTAAATTTGGCCTTATCCTTACAAAAATTTTCATTGTGGGGGATTTCAGCCCCAAAACTCTCCTGCCTACTTCTCAGATTGCTCAACGGTGTGATCATTATTACATTTTTACTGACGAACATCAACCAACTCTTATATAACGGTTGTATTTTATTGAAACCTTCGACAAAAATTGTGTTTAGTATAGTGAATGGAAAAAAACACTTACGGCTAAAAAATGCAGATTTTTAATTAATTTTTTTTTATAAACTATACGATTGCATGTGTTGTAAATAAGAAAGAAAGTTTTATGACTCATCTGTCAAATTTCATAGTTGACTTATTGAATCAAAACATACATATAAATTATCAATAGATGGAAAACTTGTATTTTATTCAATAATTACAATCGAAGGTTTTCATTGGAACAAAAAGAAAACACGAAGTACGTACTCAAATTAGACAGAGCAAACTATCTGCTTTCAGGAAGTTATAACCTTTCAGCGGATGGAACTCAGTTGAACCTGCTTATATGCAAGTTTTCATGAAACCAACTATTAATCAAATATTTTTAATTTTTTTTTATAAAACCAAATCTTAAAAAAATGATTGATCAAATGATGGATAAAAATGTTTACAACTGACATTATTCAGACAATTTGAGAAAAGGTGGCATTAAAAACGGTGTTCAGAAAATAGCTCTAGAGTTCTCATCATTCACCTCCACTCTTCCCTATTTAAAAATCGAAAACCAAAATGGGACATCCACTGTAAGTAACATGGATTGCATGGAGTCTCCACCATCATGTCAGCCACTGGACGCTGGGACACTGGAGTGCTGGAAAGGTCTGCCTCCACCATCAACATGCGTCTACGTCATTCAGACAAACGAATGCTCAACGCTTGAAGCGCACATGGGCATCGATGAAGCTGAGGACAATGTCTCTGGAAAGTTGTCTTGCGCACTGACGGACGTTTCAAACGATCAAAGGTTATAAAAGTTGTGACTGAATCATTTTTTAGTGATTGTTAAAAGGATTGCTTTTCAAATTTATTAGGTTTAAGACGACCAGAATTGAAACTGCAACTGAGGAGGTGAAAGCCATGAAAAGTGATAGCAACACGGAAGGTTATCAATCACCTGTTAAGTTAATTTAATTTTCATTGGCTCTCTTCCGAATTGATGTTTTTTCTAACAACTTTTCAACCGCTTACCAAAAATATTGCACATATAAACAAAACGATAATTTCCCAGCAGTATTCACGTCAACTGGCGCCATTGCAGTGACCATGTCCATCATTCTCCTCTCATCTTTAACGGCGATCGTCGGTGGTCTGATTGTTAGCTGCAAATGTTAGGACAATTGATTTAACCTAGCTTATCAAGTCTAAAAAGATAAAAAAACAAGTTGCTAAATTTACTTACTGTTGGCACCAAACCTTTCAAACTCACATTACGACAACAATGAATTTGTTACTCGTTTATTTAATATCATGAACAAGAGGCGTAGCCCTGGAGTTGCTTAAGGTTTGAAGCCCCTTTCCTACAGTGGAAAATCTTAAATGTAGTTAGAGTTAAAGTTGATTTCAAATAAATTTCTGTATAAGTTTGAATTGAAAAATATTCAGCATTATTTGGAAGATTTTATTTGAGTGAAAATCGTTTTAAATATATGTTTCACATAAAACGTGGAATAAGAAAATAAGATCGCTAAAGTTGTTTTAAAATCGAAGCCACTATCAAACCTTCCCTACTTAGCCAAACAATCCCGGCTACGCTAATTAATTGTCATGAATGGAAATATTTTAATGACAAAAATTAAAAAATATTTTTGAAAGACGAGAAGGATCTTCAAGAAAGGATTCAGATGGATGCGATGGAGGGCCTGCCAATGACCAGTGACGAGCAGAAGTATGATTCGATTTCATGACCCGGTCAACCTCTCCAGGTCAACCTGCCTCCAATGAGTGCAGCACAAGCCATTAAAAATAAAAAATAAATTTATTAAACGATATTTGTTCTACTTAATTTTGATTTTATTACCGTTTAATGAAACCTTATTATAAAAATATCGAATTATTTATTTTTCAAACATTTTCAGAAACTATTAGAATATTCGTTTCATTTTTTCACTGATGAAATTTTTTATGCTATTTGAAATAATTCTTCAATTTTATATTTGTAAAAATATAAATTAATAAAATTTCATTGGTATCTTTAAAGAAAAGTAATCACTAGTTAATTTATAAATCTGTATGAAATTAAACTAAACACAAGCTGAAAAAAACTTATTGTTCTATATAAATGAGTCGTGAGACCACGACAAAATACTAGTGTCGGTGAAAAATTAATTTAATGAACATTTTTTACTATTCCAACGTTTTTAACACTTTATTGTATTTTTCCATTTTAACGCTTCATCGTATTAACCCATTTGGGTGCACTCCATTACAAACATACTTGTTTCAGTTGCGTTATATAAATTCAAATCTATGTAAGTATACACATTGTACATAAATTGTACAGACACCTTTTTTATACGTGTAACTAAAAATATCCACACATCTTTCGCATAGAAGTCGATAAATGGATGTTCACCATGGAAGCATTTTCAAAATGGCGAACGCACAAAATGCTAAACGCGCGAATGTTGAAGTTGTCTTTTCTAAGTGTTTTGAATTTTCTCATCGTTTTGCTTGCTGGAGGTTAATTAGATTTCAAACATCTGAGAGAGATTTATAATTTTCATTTTCGAAAATTTTTCAGACTTTGCATCAACGAGAAACAACGTCGCATTAAAAAAAAGAAATTTCATATTCCAGTGTTTTGTACGGTTGGTATGTGCGCTGGCTACCATCCACAGCTGTTGACGGCAACTATGGAAACGAGTTGTATTTCTGCCAGTGTTACTCGGGTTCAGGTCTTCCCGGCAGAGCGAATGGTTTCAAAGTTGACATGTCCGATGTGAACTACGCTGATTGCGTTCACCTTCGAAGCAGGAATGCAGTGGCAGAGCGTGAATGCGATGCCTTTTTTTCCATTAAACCTTTTTTTTATGATTTTTAATGATTTTTTAAAATACTTTAATTTATAAAATTTTAGGTTTATGTTCATTAAAATGATAAGGTTTTTTTCAATTTTGCAATTAACAAGTTCAAGAGTTAGGTTATTTCATAGTTGGTTTGACTAATGTTAGTCCGAAAATTGATTCCATGGTCAGAGGAACATATTTAGTTTGCGGACAGAACCCTGAAAAAGCAAAGATTTTAGAGTTGCACATGTTGCCATGCATTCCTTCCTTTCCAAGCACCAATATATGCTCGTACAACGATCTGCGGTGAAGGTTTGACTTTTGACAGCCTGTTAGCTTGAGGTCTATCCTGCTAGAGTTGTCAAATAGGGTGAATTCAACTTTGTTGACGTGTTCCATGAAACTATTTCACGTTTTCTGATTTTGTGCATTAATTGATCTAACCTGGTTTTAAGATTTTAGACGAATGCAAACATTTTATTAACGTAGATGTGGTTTTTGAGAATAATCATGAAAATTAGGAAATGACTACAGATAATCCGATGGGCAAATAAATGTTTTTTGTCACATCACGCGGAAGGAAAGAATGGAAAATCCAACAACTACTGGAAAGATTGCAAGGAAAAGAGATCGCGTCAACAACTATTATTATTCGTGAAATCCTTGGGCTACTTGTTGAATATCACCACATTTCAACTACTACAAAGTGTTAAAGATTGGATTTTGTGGAGGTCGATGGTCGCCAATGTCTTGAAAGGATAAGGCACGAGAAAGAAAGAAGAAACTTGTTATATAGAGTTTTAAAGTGTATAAAAATATGCCCATAATTTTTAATTTTTTGGTACTCAATAAATAATTTTTTAGATCTACCGTCATTCTTGTGGAGAAAGCGTTACTTAGACTTGCCAACGATATCATACCACGTGATACTGTTACACAACATCATGTATAGAACAAGAACACGAAGTCTATTGAATTGTGTTCATTTGTGCTGCAGTCAACCTCAAGGCAATGCGACTCGTTCGTTTGATGCGGGCTCAACTCGCAAAAACTCGGCTACAAACGAAGTTCCATCCACTTGAGCCTGGCTGGCACGTGTCGTTGGATGGCGCCAGGATATGCCTGAATATGCGTCCGATCCAAAAACATATCGATGTTGGATCGATGCGAATTTTATTATTTACATTTACACTATTTTATCTTTGTAAGACAATCTTTTAATCGCTTGTAACTTAACCTCAATTTAACAAGCTCTGTTTTGACAAACAATTGTAACCATCCTTATCAGATTTGAAAAATGTTTGCGATGTTAAGTAACTGTAATATCAATAGTTTCAAGAAACTCGTAAACATTGTGCAAATTTATAAGGTATTTATTAATTTATTTTTTTATTTTTTATTTAATTTATTTCTATCCTCGAAATAAAATTGAACTGCAACCAAAATATTTATTTATTTACTCACAAAATGCCTTAACGTTCTAATATTAAAAAATTGTTTCTACCAAACAACTTTTTTGTAAAACAACCAAATGAAAATACGACTCAATATATTTGACAATCAAAATTTATTTACGACAAATCTTACATAATTTCAGAGCATACCAATCCTAACAAACTTGTGAGCAATTAAAATAAATTTTCTCTATAATAAAAAAAAAACAAAATAAATTATTTGTTTGAGAAAGTTTGCATAAGCACATCTATATATTCTGCCATATAAATACATCAACAGTTCCAAACAATGTTTCAATACATTGAACCAAAATATAAAAAAATCTGTCAAAAAGAGACGCTGAAGTAACAAAAAATGCGCAAAGCATGCTGCAAGAAAGAATAAAAATGAACGGTGGATGAACATGGATGGTGAATGAACATGAATGATGAATGAACATGGATGAACATGGATGAACATGGATGAACATGGATAGTGAATGAACATGAATGATGAATGAACATGGACGAACATGGACGGTGGTCATCAGAGGCCATGTTGCTGGCTGCTGCAGTCGTGATATATCGTCGTGAAATTGCCTGTTGAGCCACTCAGATCCATTTCAAAGTAACATACTTTTTCAAACTAATAGGTTGAAATGGATTAATTGATCATTAATTGTGGCGTGAATTAGTTTACTCATTATTACCTGAGCGTACAATTTTATAAATCTGATGGAAATATCACAAATGAAATAGTTCTCACCAAGTATTGAACATGAAAAATTTAAGTAATGGTATGCAAAAATGTTTTAAACATTTTTAAAATGTTTTAAACATTTTTAACCATGCCAAACATGCAAAAATCACCTGAACGACATAAAACTCCAACGTAGTATTGACCAGAGCTCTGTAGCGAGTGCTGACTGTTGTTTGTATTGTCTGCATTTGTTCAAAATGAATAAACAATATGTGAATCAACTTGATCATTTTAAACAAAAATTAAGCACTGAAATTAACTAAAACCAGCTAATCTTGTCCTCAACTCACCTGAACAGTTGCTTCGAGAATTTCAATTATATGAATTTTATCGAGCGGATCTATGAAGTTTGCAAGATGCTGGATGGTGCCTTCGATTCCTTCTGATAATTTGGTATCGTTTGTTTCAATTCTTTTCGCATCGTCGGGCAAATCTCCGACGGCAAGTGAAGCAAACGTTGGTTCCTTGCAGGCGTGCGGAAGGGTGGCTGGTCGGTGCAGGACGTTCTGAGGCAGCATCGTGAAGCTGCAGTCTTGTGTCTGCATTGAGACAGTTTTGGACATTTTGTCCCATTTTGTCAAAATTTTATAACAAATCAAGTTGTATTGCGAAGAAATGATTTTAAACAAAAGAAACTGTTGACAGATTGAAATTTCAGATCAAAATTTACTAAAAGATAAAAAATGAGAAAATTTTTGAAACCGACTTTGATAACTCGGCAGGGTGCAATCGCTTCGCAGTGCCAGTGACTTACCTCAACAGAAGCTTCGTAGTAGGTGCCCTTCAAAAAAATCAGATTTTTAACAATGGGGACTGAACAAAATAAATTTAAATAAATCTTACATGGTATTACTTTTGACATTTTTTCTTTTTTTTTCTATTTTTTGATTAATATTTTTGTTACTTTTTAAATATTCATTTTCAATGTTTGCTACATTACAGAGAATTACATTGTCGACAACTTAGAAAATGACAACCGCAAACAATGCAAAATATTGGTTTCTTTTTATTCAAAATTTTCCCACGTCCCACTGATTATATGTTTGAAGGGACGAAACATTCAAAGTATGCTACATTGTAACAAAGATATTTGAAGTCACCTCATTCAAAATGAATGCGAATATAACAATACATCCTTATAAAAAACCAACCATATAAATCACTTCACCATGTTTGAATTTGCAAACCGAACCAGAAAAACCGCCAAAGAAATTGAAACAACAAACCTTCTTGCGCGCAGAATGGATGGCGGTGATGTTGGTGATGTACTTAGAAGGATTCTTCTCCAGCAGTGTGGCTTTGTAATAGCTGACCATGTCGGCGACTGTGGTGTCGTTCGCATCCAGCTCAGTCCAAGGCTGCTCAGCGTTCGTCAGGTCGCTATTTTCCACGGGGTAGCAATTCGACCACACAACGAATGCCAGGCAGATCATACCAACGCTCAAACTCAATTGCGTACCAAACATTTTCATTTTTATTAATTTGTGTTAAAATTTTTTAGCAACTCTCTGAAACAAAAAGATATTATAAAAAGATTTGTAAAAATTCAAGTAGCAAGAATTAGCGTTAAAATTGGAAAACAAGCCAAAGATAGCTTGATATTGTTTATAAAGAAGGCTGGAGTGAACTTTGAACCGAAGTGTGGATGAGGTGTTGATGTTGGAGCAAGATGTGTTTGCGTGTTCGTTGTTGTTGTTGTTAGTTAGTGCTACTGATGTAAATTTTAGATTTCTTAAGCGCATATCAGTGTGTTATTTTTTTTTGTTTTATTGTTGTCATCATTAATAAATTCTTTCATCATTTATAGATGATGGAGTTAGTAAATGATGGAGTAAGTAAATCACGTGACCCGTCAGTTCTGATAGGCCAGAAGGTCGTGTCAAGCGGCAAATGGTTTCAATTAGAAGCTGTCAAATGAATTGTAACCTTTGACATTTTCATCATAGTTTAAATTATCATTATCATAATCGTCTTCCTCATCATTTTCCTCATCATCTTCATCATCTATGGTAACATTATAATCTTCAAAATTATCACCCCCATAATCGTCTACAAAATGTGTGTGTGTGTGTGTGTGTGTGTGTGTGTGTGTGTGTGTGTGTGTGTGTGTGTGTGGTACTTGGTACTACGTGGTTCGTCATGGAAACCCAGACCAAACTCTTCTCTTAGACCTGAATGAACCAAACCTCTGGTACTTATTATATGTCATATTATATATCATTATATCTAGTAATAAAGCATTTAATATTTATATTTTTTATATTTTTTATCTTATATATATATTTATATATATATATATATATATATATATATATATATATATACAAAAACATATATATATATATATATATATATATATATATATATATATATATATATATATATATATATATATATACAATATACATATCATAATTAGCAGAACACCATCTTAAACACAAATTATTATGTGCACACAATCAAGTAATTTGCTATAAAAATAATTAAAGTTGTTAAAAAATTGTTTATTACTATGTAAACATACCACAATGAATGTAAAGAACAAAATGTATGACATACGTATATATTGTTTTATGGGATTTGTATGTATGTATATGTATAGGTATGTATGTATATGTATAGGTTTATATGCATGTATGTGTGTGTGTGTATGGGTTTGTATGCATGCTTATATCTATGCGTCCTGCATGCAATTAACCTTCAATTAACTTGTACCCCGGCAATATGATCTTTGACTCGGAGATGATATGAAAGAAAGTTGTGATTTATCCTTACTGACATTTGGTTAGTTGTTTTTTGACGGAGTCATTCTGCCTGCTTGTGTGTGTCTTCGTATGTTTGTGTTAGTATGCGTATGTTGGTTTGTATAGATAGATGTTTGTTTGTGTGTGTGTGTGTGTGGTGTGTGTATTCAGTTCGTGTATGTGTGCTAATGCAGTGTTTGTGTTGTTGTGCATGTGTTTTGCTTACGTATTCATGGATGTAATAAAAGTGCTGGTTTGTTAGATTTTTAATTGTGCTGTCTTCGCCTGCCTCTGATGTGATATGTGAATATTTTTGTAAATTTTATAATTTATAATATAATTTTATGATTAATAATTTGTAATTTTTTTAGTAGGATATATTACGGTTTGTTTCTATTTGTGCGGATCCGTTTGCGTAGACTTATCGATGTTTGTGAAAACCAAAATAAAAGTTTATTTTCATCTTCGGTCTCACTAACTTCTTCCAAATTAATTCAGGATGGCAATCAAGACCTGCAGTTCAGCAAAAACTTAGAAACATTTTATCATCTTTTAGCTAAAACAGGAGCAATGTCCATTAAACTTTTTTTTAAAAACCGAAATGGAATTAAAAGAGTTACAGGTGAATCGTTTGAACAGAAGTAATTTTAGGAGCAACATGATTTAAACTTATGCGTTTGCTTGAAAAATTTAACAAATTTTTTTTTTTACATTCGGAATTTAAAAACAGGACATGACTAAAACTGCGCTTCAAAAATTGAGATTTTAAAATTTTCAAATGATCATCAACGTCTTCGCGATCTTCAAAGTTGAATGGATGACGTAGTTGACAGAAGTGGAGAATGATTTATGATCAAATGTGACAACACTCGCTTGTAACGAGTCAAGCTACTAGTTGGATTGCGAGACAGCAGACAACAAACAAACATGCTCACAAACAAACATTCTTAACATAAAAACACGAAAACATTTTTACTAAAATATCCGATGACACATTTCATCATTCACAAATAAACGAATATTGACAAACATTCACAACTCAATAGTCAAGACAAAGTCATATAGAAATAAATTGTTGCAAAACTATACACACACCCACACACACACACCCACACACACACCCACACACACACGCACACACACACACAACTTATAAACAAATTTTGTAATAAAAACTTTTCAACTGAAATTACAATTATCGACTAACTAATCTGCAAAATTTTTAGCACTTACTCTAAAAAATCTGGGTATAAAATTTATATATTGTGTATCTGTGTGTTTGTGTGTGTGTGTATGTGCAAGATTCATTATAAACTTTTCTAATTACATTTCTGTATTTTAATGTCCAAAAATCCCACTCGAAAATAATGTTGATCGATCAAACAAATGTGTAAAATATCGAAAAGTTTTTTTACTGGAATTCAAAAGGTTATATTTTAAGCAAATTTGACCAAATAAATGGTCGATAACTGAATTTAAACATTCTGGTAAAAATGGTATTATATATATATATATATATATATATATATATACATATATATATATATACATATATATATACATATATATACAAATTTTATAATTTTTCCATCCACTCATTCTTTTTAATAATATATAACCGAGTAAAATGACCAATCTGTAGCACTGGTCAGTGAAGCGTACCCATTGATGTGGGTGTTCATCTGACACAACTTGGAAGCTGGATGGAAGTTGATGGAGTCACATCCTCCCAGTTGTTTGCACTTATGCATGCAGTCCAATGCACTCCTCACGTACAACTGCTTGAATTGGAATCTAACCAACGAAACTTTCGACTGTTTTATCCATGAATAACTCTCTGGTGAACATTTTCGACACAAAACTAATTATTCCTGGTTTTTTATAGATTTCACGAAAAAATAGAACATTAAATTTCATTCCAAACGTTATATAAAAAACTGATCATTAATAAAATTTCTCTACTTTGGTCAATTGGCTCATAAGCCTCTAATTCGCAAATGGTGAAGAGACCTATCACAGAATTTAAGCCCGCTTGTGCACTTAAGCACTTAAGAATTTAAGCACTACGTATCTGAATTTTGGCAAGTTGGCATTGCATTTGAGTTCGACTTTAACTCCTTGTTTGAGAGCTCCTGGCCATCTGGCGCACAAAGGATAGCTGTCTCTAACTGGAACTGTTATCACGCTGTCTACGTTTGTCAGTCCAATTATGAAGTTGTACATGCGGTCGGTTATTTGTTTCATGTCGTAATTGCCTTTAAAAGTTGTATCATTGGAAAAGATTTTAATTTCAAAATTCTGTTCAAATTTTCTGAAAATTTTTACAACTCTTTGAAAAATTCAAATGATAATTAACTGAACCTTCATAATCCATGGCTGACAGTACGACGAAATCAATATGATGGCTGGTCATCATGTCTACCATGAACCAGTTAGGTCCACCAGTGGCATCGTTCGTGTGGGAGCAGTGGCATTGAAATGCAAAGTTGTCGTGAAAGCCATCCACCAGCAAAGCAGGATCATAGGCTCCACATGTTTGGTCATAAAATACTGAACTGCTCCTGGCTGGCCTCCCAATCAACATGTTGTTGCGGTATGCTTTTAATCAATCATTTATTGTTGAAACATGTTTAAAATTATTTAATCCTAATTCAAATTTTACTTCCGTATGAAATTCCATAGATTTCCCATTCACAGACAGACATGTATCCAGTAGAGTTAGCAGGTTGTTGCAGTATGACGTATCTGGCTGGAGGTGTAGTAGAGGAGCAATTCAATTGAACCACCTGTTTCGAAGCAACCACCCCTGGATATTGAGCACAAAGGTCGTACATGCCTCTCACTGGCGGGTGAACATCCAGGGACCTGTTACTCACTCCCACAATGAAGTAGTCCAGATCGTTCCTGGTTGGCATACTATTTATATCTGAATATTGTTGAAACAAAATTTTACAAATATTTACTAAACGACGTTTGAAAAAAAATTGCAGATTTTTTCTCAAAATTTAAAATAAAACTGGAATTATTTATGTAAATAATATTCAGTCATATTATTATACAATTGACGTAGTCTGAGATTTGCTTTGCGGTCTCCAATTTATTAACAGACCATTAATTTTGTTTATTATGCTCACCACACTAATTTTGTACAAATTTTAACAAAATTTCATTGTTGAGGCGGGAACTGAAAAAACTTTCAGTTTAATTTTTTACAAATTTCCACAAAGATTTTGTCAACTGAGTTTTAACCCTAAGAAGAATTTCCATTTCTGAAGTACTCTTCGATATCCAAAATATTGAAATTGATAACCTGTTCCGGCATAAAGTATTGTGTAGAATATAGAAAACACATTTGCGAGGTCCACACCGATCCAATGCGGTGCCATCGAAGGTGTTGTCAGCGAACATTTTGCTGTAACATCGTTTAAGCCGTTTCGGCCATCAACGGCCCAAAATGCTGTCAGCGTTAAAATAGAGTTGACGAAATATCCTGAACTGTTGTATGCATAGGCGCCAACTGCTAGCCTTGTTGCAACTCTCTGGTCGGCTTCATCAACTGAGAAATTTAATGTAAATCGTTGAAAGTTTCGGACAGTTCATTTTATAACCATTTTGAATAAATAAACTAAAACTATCAAAATTAAGTTCCATAAAAACTCACCAAATTTTGCTAGGTAAATTAAATAGAAAACTCTTAACAACATGATCTTATAATTTTCATGCTTCGAAAATTGTCTTTGAATTGAAACAATGCCAACACAGCAGTACAATATTTTCTGCTAATCCAGTTTTTATGCGATATTAAAATGGTTTGTAGCAAATTTTAGAATTAAAATTGCATTAACGTTTTAAAAAGTGATCATAAAATTTATGGAAATAATATTTTCAAAAATTTGTGTCAGAATAAATAAATTACTCATTTTAATTCATAAAAATGTTTTGCCGTTATTCAAATTTACTATTTTACTTAAAACACGATTGACTAATTATACATGAACGGTCTTTTAGATTATTTTTCCGCCATATTTCTCAAAAATAAAAATTATATAGAAGAAACATGAAAATCTATAATGATTTTTCAGGTAGAATGTACATTATTTTCAATGAAAGAATTTTTTTTTTATTTCGTAGTGTATTTCCTGACAAAACAAATGAGATTAAAAATATCGGACTCCAAATTAGCATAAACATTATTTTGTCAAAGACAAAGGACAGAATGTTTTGGTGATATTCACATGTAAATAACTATTTGATAAAACGTCCACATGCATGTAACTGCCTCTGTTTTGTTCCTTCGTATTGTTACTTACATTCAATTTTGGTAAATCATATCGAAATTATGAACGTTACGGAAATTTTGTAGTTTTTTCAAATGCAAGTTGGTTTTACAAATCTGATTACACTAACACGACGAAATTATTCTCATGACTATTAGCAATAAGGTTTTAAGCGCAAGGAAGACGAGTACATTTACATTATGCTTGTTTGAAAGTTAAACTTCTGTAGCAAATTTGAAAAACTAATTTAAGTTGAATTTAAATGGTAACTCTGATTAAAGATTTTGAAAATTTTATTTATAACTCCAATTTATATGTTCAAGCAGAGAAAACGCATAACAACAATAAAAATATATACAAATAAAGTAATTTAAAGTATTTTTTGTCCTTTCATTTTACTTTTACCGAATTACCAAATAAATATTTATAAATGTTTAACTTGAAAATATATAGGTAGGTATTTTGCAAAATACTAGAAATTAGAAACAAATAGCAATGAATAGGTCTACTCCTTGGTAACATTTTAAACTGGTGTAACAATGAAGTGCCAGGCGTTGTTCACGTGTATTTACAAACCTAAACTGTGTTTTTGTTGTTGATGCCTTTGAAAAGTATTAAAGTAAGAATTGTATTAGAGATATACCTCTGCAATCAATTTTTGTTTTTGCACGAGAGGTTTTTTTTACAAACTTTATCAAATAAATTCAGCTGACGAACAAAACACAAATTGTTTCAAAATGTTCCACCAGCGTAATAATAATGTCTTTTTCCAACCAAGTTATACATTGTTCAATTTTTTATCACAGAGTTGATTGTGACAATTATGATTTTCAATTAACAACATTTTAACAATTCAAACCTTACTAAATTGAATAAAGGGTTTTTAATATGATCAAATCAAAAAACGGAAATATAGGCGTTCCAAATAATGTCGCCAGCTGGAGACTCTGTTTCAAACTTTGCAGTCATATTGTTAACAATTACAGTAAATTGTTTTATGCTCAGTGTTACTCTAAGCATTGAATTTAAATAGTTTATACGATTTTCAAAATAGTAATGTGCTCATTGAAGCCATAAATAAAAAACATGGAAAAAGATTGAAATATCTGTCAATAAAAACTATCTACTGATAGGAAAAACTTTGCAATAAAATGTTCAGAATGTTTACGATGATATTATTCATAATAAGAATGTTTAAAAAGATAGAGATAATTATTTAATTAACATGGAACTCGTTTTCTAGTTAAAATGATACATTCATATCATTCCTGATGATAAATTCATCTTGAGTCAATTATAAATGACCCAATAAAATGACCAACCACTAACACTGGTCAGTGAAGCGTACCCATTGATGTGAGCGTTCATCTGACACAACTTGGAAGCTGGATGGAAGTTGATGGAGTCACATCCTCCCAGTTGTTTGCACATATGCATGCAGTCCAATGCACTCCTCACGTAAAACTGCTTGAACTGAAATCCAGCTAACGACATGTTAGACTTTTTCATCCACATAAAAGAATCTGGACATAGTTTTTTTTTACAATTTCCTAAATTTTGGTTTCAGTTTAACAGTAATAATTAAAAAGTTCAAAAAATCTCAAAACTATAAATTTTAGATTTTTTTAGTTTCGGCAGATTTAAAAAATATTCTACATTTGGTTTTAAGAAAGAAATTTTTATATTTAACTTTAAATTCATTTCTCAATGCTATTTATCTTAGTCCTTTTTTCTGGTAAGTTTTGGCATAATTTCTTTTATATTCCGACCAATCCATAGTAATTTTTCACACTCATTTTGTAATTTTTACACATATAATTGAAATAAAATTTAAATAGATGAAAATTAATTTTGCAAAACATACTAATAATGACAAAATACAAACAACATTTTGCTGAGATTTTCACTGATGCAAGGCGCCCCGTCAAAAAAGCGAGTCAAGTTATGCAGATTTGAATTGACGAGATTTAGAAAATTTGAATCGGAAAATAAGTTTCGGATATAACGTGACTTTAGGCTAGATACACAAACTATTAACTGACATCTGCAGCGGACAGTGGCGGATCTAGGCAAGATTGACTGGAGGGCCAAAATTTTCAAGATTTGGGGTGGTCTGACCATAATAGGCTAGCGATTTTTTCTGTTTTGCTTATCACGTAAAATTTTTCGTCCATTTTCTACATAAAATTTTAATTTTCTGTTGAAAAACGGAGATTTACTCACTTTTAATATAAATACTGCTCACAACGATAGATCCAAATTAAAAATATATTCGCTACTTGATCTAAACAACTTTGACGGGTGGAGGTCAAAATTAATTTTGTAAATGTTTAAATTTAAAAATTAAGACGAGGGTTGGAAAATTTTAAAAATTTCTAAAATTCATAGTAGAGTGATTACACTGGCGACCTTCTTATGGTCGGTTTTATACTTAAAACGCTGTTTTTTTCTGTTTCTGTGCAAAAACTGAGTTTTACTGACCTTAAACGAAAATACTGGTTACAACAGTTTCACTAGATCCGCCACTGAATAAAATTTTAAAACATTACAGTTTTTAGGAGTATTCTAAATTAGGATACATATACAATCTAAGTCATACTTTCATCGAATGGCATGTAAGCCTCTAGTTCACAAATGGTGAAGTAACCGTCGGATGAAGTTAAATCACTTTGGTATCAGGTATCAGGAGCTTTGGTATCAGGTACTTTGGTATCACACTTAAGTGAGCTATCAGGTACTTTGGTATCACACTTAAGTGAGCTATCAGG